GAGGTGTTCAAGGCCAGGTTGGACGGGGCTTGGAGCAACCTGGGCTGGTGGGAGGTGTCCCTGCCCAAGGGCAGGGGGGTGGAACTGGATGGTCTTCAAGGTCCCTTCCAACCCAAACCGTTCTATGGTAATTTGGGGAGCAAAACCACTCCCCACAGACTCCCATTCACTGCCCTCAGGAGTAGGGAGGGGAAACTGAGGCATGAAGCGCAGGACCAGCCCCGCGGCGCCTTCCTCACCTTGATGGAGGCACCCGCAAACCGCGCCAGCTGCTTGATGTGCTGCCCCTTCTTCCCGATGATGGCCCCCACCGACTGCGCCGGGATGAACTTCACAACCTCTTGCTCCGGCAGCTGCGGGGGCACGGCAGAGCGAGAGGGTCAGGGGACCAGCCGGACAAGGGACAAGGCAGGTGGCTGTCCCCATGCCACCATCCCATGGTAGTGGTTGCCCACCCTCCCGAGGTGCCCTAGCGAAGATCTCCTGGAGAGGGGCGCCAGGCACTTACGGGGTGCTGATGGGGGAAGGCGCTGGCCGGGGGGGCTCCGTACAGACCCGAGAGGTACGCCGAGGAGCTCTATGGTGGGAGAGAAAACGAAGGTCAGTGGTGGCCCCAGCATCCCAGCCCCTTCCTGGCCACCCCCAGCACGACGCAGAGCAGCGTGCCACCACCGTGAGCCCGGCAGGGACACGGGGACAACCCTTCAGGCCCCGAACGCCCCCTCAGAGAGCACGGGTGCACCCGTGCATCGGGGTGAGCTGCAGCCCCGATCCTGTGCCTGTGGCACAGCACGACGGGGCTGGGAGGCGGACGGGGGCTCCCAGTTACCCCCAGTGCCTCCCCACTGCCATGTTTCCACATGTGCCCTGCATTTGTAGGGGAAAACTGGCCCCGATGGCCTTTCAGAGCAGCCGCAACCCTGGGAAGCCGAAACCGTGGTGTGACCACCATTGGTCCCCTGCGGAGAAGACGGGGGTTTGGCAAGAACGGAGCAAAATGTCTGGTTTTGCTCCGATTTCCCCCACCATTTCACTTCTCCGGGTCCAAGAGAAGAGAAAGCAAAGGCTGAAGGAGATGATCCCCCAAGACCTGGGCTGGAGACCGGGGGGGGAAAGCAGCCAAAAGCAAGGGGTGCGTGACAGCACCCCAACCCAACTCAACTCAACCCAACCCAACGCCTCGTCAACTCTTCCATGTTTCAAATACATCAGACACTTCTCCTGGCAGCAGACACAACTCCCTCCTGCTCTTGTGTTCCAGCAAGTGCAATCAGATGCTACCTGCAGACCACCATTTCTCAGGTGGAGGAGGAGCAGACCCAGCTGCCCTGCCCATGGTGGACGTCGCTCTCGCTCCCAGCCCTCTATTTAAACCTGCCGCACCGAGGTTTCGTGCTCCTCCTTGCATTGAGCCCGTGCTCTCCGTGTCCACCCTCTGCTTCTGGCCATGGGCTGCTCCATGTCTCCTACACCAACATGTCCTCTCCTGCCCAGCCAGTCGTCAAGGCTAGGGTGGACAGTGCACCTCCTCAGTTCCCTCCATTCACCGTGAGGCTCGTTCCTTGTCCTCCACCCTTGCCGGGTCTCTAGAGCTCCACAATTGAAGCTACAGCCACCAGCCCCAGGTCCTGCTGAGGACATGGTCAGAAATGACCACTCCGAAGTGTGAAACACAAAGTACTTGGGTGGAAGGAGCAGAGACGATCGCTCCTCTTGGCCTCACCAGGGTGGCTTCAAAAAGGTCCCACAAAGCTTTAGGGTGAAGGAGGTCCCACCAAACGCCGCCCTTCAGGAGAACCTGCCCAGCTCCTCTCCATCACGCCAACAAACGCTCAACCAGACATTTCCCCAAGGCCGCACTTGCTCTGGTGGTTGCAGCGGGCAGAGCATCGTCCCACGCAGCCAGACCAACCGACCCTTCTCAGTGCCCTCTGGGGCCACCACACACATCACCCTCACATGCCCCTCCGCACCGCCAGCCTGGCACTCACCGTTCTCCTCCGACCGCTCTGCTGCTGGCGTCGCCAGGAAAAAGAAAACAGCACAAGTAAATGAACCCGCGCCCCGGTCGCCGTGTGTGGCCAAAAGCATCTCAACCTGGTCATCCCAAGGGTGCTCTGCAGGTGCTGGTGGGCTGGGGATGGACCTTCTCCACCAGCACTTTGGCCGGCATGTCTTCCCAACACCGGACTGTCCCTGCCTGCGTACAACCTCAAGGGTTTTTAAGCTGCTTCCCAGGCGTGCTTTGCCCCAGGTCCCACCAGCCACGGCACCCCAAGGAAGAGGGAAACCTTTGCCTACAAAATCGGGAGAAGATCAGCTCCCACCAGACACGACCCTTCGGGTGCCGGGGGGGACCAAGGCTGATGGCTGCACGGGGCACGCTGCTCATCCCCTTTCATGCCATGCTCCGCACGCTCTGTGGCAATGCCGGTGGGTTCACGTGGCCACCGGGACCAGACCCGCAGGGCACAACCGAGTCCACACCATCACAACCCAGTGGTGGGTTTGGGGTCAGGACTGAAGATAATTTACATGGTTTTTCCATGCCGGCATCGGCACCGGCTGCCCCCAGCAGAGAGCAGCACCCCTGGGACACGGCCAGTCCTTGAACACCGGTGAAACCAAACTCAGCACAACATGGGGATGCAGCTGATCTTGCCGGGGAGCTACATCCAAGGAGGGACAAGCCACATTCATTCACTGTCTTCTCCACTTCGCTGCTGTGATGAACACCTTCCCCAAATGGCCAAGAATCAGAGCTCTTGTTCAAGTCTTCCCAAGAGATGGATCCTATAGCTACACTGTCCACCCAAACCCAAGAGCTACAGCAGGAGAGTCCAGAGACCACTCTGCCCTCAAGAACGTGCCCCCCTGCACCCCAAAACCTCATGAACTTACTGCAAACGGGTGGTACGGGGCGGCTGCCGCAGCTCCTCGGGCCCCCGGGGTGGATGGGAGCATGGACAGTCCCGTCGAGAAGATTCCCAAAGAACTGAGGTTCAATCCAGGGATTAGGTTGGCTTGCTGCTGGGAGAGCAACCACATGGAGAAACATGTAAAAGGCAGAGTGGGATTTTTGGAGTTCTCACCACATAGTGTCGTCACGATGGGTGAGGGCCAACCCCAAATCAACATTCCCCACCCAACAGTTTTCTTCTGGCCACCTTCAGCAGTGGCTTCGAAGCAGGGGCATCATAGGCAGGAGGGTTGGGAGCTTACATTGACGGCCACCACGTCGTTCTCATAGGCCTCTCGCAGCTTCTTCATGATCTCCACTTCGGCATTGGAGCACGCCTCCGTGCTGCCTTTCACTGTGATGGTCCGTTCAGGGTTATAAATGGTTAAATCCTGCAAACTAACCCATGGATAAAACCAGAGACACAGTTACACTTTTTTCCAAGTTAAAAAAAAAAAAAAAAAGGCGAGCTCAGATCAAAGATGAGCATTCCCCCCGGAGACCGTGTGGAACCACATGCCCTCTCCCTGCCCAATGCCACCATCCACCTGGGATGGAGAAGATACACCCGGGATGGGGAACGTGTACGGGAGGACACAACTGCTCTGGTTTCTGGCTGCGGCGCTGCCCGTACTGTGTTGGATGGAGGGGGGTGGCTTGGTGTTCACCAGGACTTACGGGGAGATGGTGATCTTCGTGCCCGTGTCCTGCTCGATCTTCTTGAGATTGCGGCCCTCCTTGCCAATCAACCTCCCCACCAGACTGTTGTGTGCTAGGATTTTCAAGGGAATCTCTTCTGCTCTGAAATCGATTAAAGAAAATAAAACCTAATGGTCCAGCTGGCCAGGAAACCAATTTTCAGCAACAGGCACTAACAACGCGGTGGAAGGAGCAGAAGCAGCACCAGTGTTTCCCACCACTGTAATCTCCTCAGTTTCTGGGGAACGGGAACTCAGGAACTTCCCAAGCCCAATGGCACATCTCTATTTCATGAGGTTTTGTTCTCCAAGTTTGCCTACATGCTCTTGGTACCCACCTGCGCTTCTGGTCTCTACAACACTGTCAACCACATCATTAAGAAGTCGTTAAGTTGTAAGTTATTAACTCACCCACGACTCTGTCCTGAAACTTCGAATGCCAGCAGTTCCCTCAAGGGGTGGGGGGTGACAGAAGATGGCTTCTTCTCCACTGATTTACCTCCCTTCCACCAAACCTGCCCGTTCTGCTGAGCCAGGGGGCACTTACGATTTAGTTTCATCAGCCTCCTTCTGCATGATATCAAGGATCATGCGACACGCTTCAGAGCACCCCTCTGGTGTGGCATGGATGGTGATGGGCTTTTCGGCGGCGCCAGCGTTCTCCTTCCGATGGATGTCAACCCTACAGTGAAACAACCAGCAGAGAGGAGCCCCCTGAGATGCGTTTGGTGTCACACAAAGGCTTTCAAGAGCTCAGGAGCTGAGCTTGCTATTCACAGAAAAGCTTTTTTCAACACCTGCTCAAGTTTTGGGGTGAACCTGGGTCTCACTGACGTACATCTACCGTCACCTGGTGTCATGCAAGCCCAGGTCATAGTTCGCTCCGGTTGGTTTAGATCAGACCTGAACTACTTCACCTTTATGACCTGAGGTCTACCTAGGAGCTGAGGGACGTCAATCAATAATACTGCATCAAGAGGGGGCAGAACAACTCCTCAACTGGACAAAGCCCTGAGCAACCTGGTCTATTGTCTTTGACGCCAGTCCCGCTTGGAGCAGGAGACCGGATTGGAGGTCTCCAGAGGTCCCTTCCAACCTCAACCTCTCACAACACCCGAGGCTGTCCAGCGACCAGCAGCTGCCACGACTGTTGTGTGTCCTTTGGGACAGAGGGACAACTTACCCGTAGGCAGCATTTTGTCACGACACGGAGGCACGCGTCAACAACAGCGCTTGTACTCACGCCCTTCCACGGGAGACCAGAAAGCTCTCCCTTGTGCACCGGCAGGGACCGTGCTCTACCTCCTCTGGTCCTCCCCTCAGCTCATGGCGGGGAGGAGGCACATGCCTCCAGCTCGCTCCTCACCGCTCAACCGTACCTGGCAAAGACCCTGAGAGAGAGGGAGAGAGGAAAGCAGGGTAGGAGAATCCCGCACGTCAACCACGCATCTTGAAGAACAGAGGTAAGCAACCTTTCCATCTTCTCCATGTGAGTCTGTGCACTCTTCCCACCAGAGGATGACGCCGTGCATCCATCCTGCCATCGGCCACCACCTCGGGGTCCCTATCACTGCCGCAGCCAGAGCTGGGCCAGCCCAGTTCTTCTGAGAAAGGTGCAGCAGTGACCACTCAGCCACCCAGTGATGCCACCAGCGCTCTACTCCAACACGGTGCCCTCCGGCCATGTCTATGTTTTTGAAAGAGGTCCTCATCCTGACCAGGATCATTCATGGGTGGTGCTGTGCATGCACGGCCAAGGGTTGTGGTGCAGAGTCACCTCTAACCAGCACCACATGTGAATGCTGCAGGGTCATGGTGGGTTTGCACAGGTCAACTCTTCCAGGAGCTCATAAACCGGGGCGTAGGAACAAGGACGCTTCATCTACAGGTAGAGCGGGAGCAGCTGGGTGAACCTGCCCTGAGATAAAGGAAGAGCCTGACACCACCAGCTTCGAAAGGGAACCCAGAGTGGTTTCATCCACAGACAGAAGCGAGAATGAAGACTAAGTATGATCCCCTTTGCAGGCTACATCTCTCCAGATCTCCTACGGCTTCAGCCAGAGCTGCCCAGGCAGGAGACTGGTCCTCCCTGGACTGGGCAAAGAGGTGCTGAAGACACGAGCACCACCAGGCTCTCCCTGCCTTTTGGTTATGTCTACAGCACACAGTGACCCAGCTGCGTGCCGTCACTCGCATGTGACACCCTCTAAGATGCTCCCAGCTGTGGAGCTCCAGCAGGTTGATGTGGAGGATGTGTTCCTTCAGAAGCAACACCCAGCAGCCACAGGGACACCCACTGCCACCCCTTCCACCAAGGAGATGGCAAACGCATCATGACGTGCCACAAGAGGCGATGACAGGCCCATGCTCCAGAGCAGTGCTGCAATGTCACACCAGGTTGATGTTCCCAGTTGGGGGGAACTGATGTTGAATCCATGGCTGCCCCAACAAACCCCGTGGATGGGGTGGATTCACCAGCTTCTTGAACCCATCAACCGTCAAGGTAGAGACGGGGCACACAGCTGTGCCTTTGTACCAAAGAGGGGCCAAGAGACACAGACGGGCTGGATGGACGCACCCAAGTGAAGGAGTACTCTGGACAAGCCCAGGAGAGGGACATGGGACAGATTTCTGGCTGACCTCCAACCCATCCCAACCCTGGATGTGCAGGAAGGAGCTCAACTGGCAGAGAGAAGATGGGGCACCAGGAAGGGGCGGCTGCATTGAGGCACGTCCTGCCATAAAGAGTTGGAGGGTGAAGGAGTGCTCTGGACTTCCCACCACATCCCAGTGCTGCGGCTGCAGAGCTCCAGTCCAACAGGAGGATGCGGAAGGGGACCTGCAAGCCCCTCAGGCCACCTGCAGCTGCCTGGGACTGCAGGGACCTTATAGGGGCTGGGAAGGCTTCAGAGAGCGGTGGCCATGAGGGACAGCCCTCTCCAGGTGGACGACACAACGTGCATGCAAGGTTATCCTGGCCCCATGCGTGCTCGGTAGTGATGGTCCTCTCTCCTCATCAAACTACAAGGGTTGTAATCACCGTGGAAGGTCCTCTGGTGGGGTGGGCTCTTGGTCTGGGCTCCTTCTCAGCCAAGGAAGAAGATGGCTCAACCTGGAGACAGGTTTTGTCCCCTGGAGCTCAAGAGCATCTCCAGCCATCGCCATAAGTGGAGACAGGGGTGAAGTCCTACGTGACCAGAGGAATCCAGGACCCAACGTTGTTCTGGGTAGGAGGAGGGGCCAGTCAACAGGATGTCACCAGCACCCTCGTCCCAAGCATCAGCACACCAGTGGGTGAGGGTGACCTGAGCAGGCACAGAACTGTGGGCTGACACCTCAAACTGAAGGCAACGGTCTTCTGCGACTGCCCGAGATGGGTGCACGTGCTCTCCCTTGCACAAGCCTGGAGTGGTGGTGGTGGCATGCCATGGCACATGGCCTCCTCAGGCAGGTCAGGAGAGGTGAGAGCATGGAGCAGGGCCTTCCTCCACAGCACCAGGTTTTCAGGGCAGGCGTAGGGAGCCAACCCACAAGGAGAGACAGCCTGGTGGCAGAAACTGCCCCAGGCAGCAGCGTTTGGCCTCGCAGTCAGGAGAAACCATCAGCCAACACCTCCTACCTTCCTCTCCAGGCACAGGGCTTGCAAAGGGCAACCTTCCAGTCCTGAGTGGCAAGGACATAGCTACACCCTGCTGCTCATCACACCAGGAAACTCACCTGGAGAAGAAGGGCTCGCAGCCAACTGGGACCAGCTCATGGCTACTAGGTGGCCACGCTCTAGGGCTAGCCGGGTTCAAAGAGCTCCTCTCCCTATTGCCCCCTTTGCGTACAAACCTCTTCCTGCAAACCCAACGCTGGGGTTCAGCTCGCTCGGCTGCAGAGCAGCACGTCTTCCTACCTCCTGCTCAAGCGGATGCGCTATTACCAAATAATTTGCCTCTAAAAGCTTCTCTGAGAACTAGGACGCCCTGGAGGATGTTCTGGTACGGGAGTCCTATGTCCTGTGGGACCACCAGGTTCAGGATGATGAGCATGGGAGAAGACAGCTTTGGGTTAAACACAAACAAATCCGGGCAGGAACAAACCATGCAGGAAAACCATGCAGAAAATCAGAGGTGAAATCAATGTGAACATCGACAAGAGAAACATGGAAAACTTTGGCAAGACAGTCCCCTCCGCCCCGCTCCCGCCCCTTCTATTTTTTTCTTAAAAAATAAAAACCTTAGATTGAAAAAAAAAAAAAAAAGGGGGCTTCAAACAGTTATGAGAAGCCCATCCTTCTCCAGGCAGCGCTCCCATGGTGCCCCCTTCTGCCCTACGACAGCTCTAGCCCATACGGGGCACGGCGGGATGAGCAAATCCCGAAGGCAAAGACTGTGTGGGCACCCACGGCCGTACCTAGGATCCCCCTTCAGAGTTTTAACCCCAAACTTGCCCTTTTTTTTTTTTTTTTTCTTCCCTAAAGCCTCAACCCCAGCCGTTCTCACCATTAGACCCATCCCTGGCCTTTTTGAACGCGCATCCCCCTCTTTGCCACACCCGGACCACCCTGGCCAGCATGAATGGTTTAGGACATGGGTTCCCGCCACCATCCCATGAAGGCTGCACCCTAAGAATACAGCACTGACCAGCACTCAAAAGCCCCGAGCACATGGAAGACCCATGTGGGGGACCTACAGCGCCCTACAGAAGGAAACAAAACCATTTGAGGTACTTACTTGGACTGGGTTTGCTTAGTAAGGTTCTTTATGGTCAAGCCCTCCTTTCCTATGATCGCACCAACAAACTGCGTGGGCACCAGCATCCGCAGTGGGAAATCGAGCTGTTTGGGCTGCGAGGAGCCCCCCGGGGAGGAGCCCCGCTCCCTGGAAGAGTGGCCCCCACGGCGGGATCGCTGGGGGGGCGGAGGGGAGCTCACCTCTTCATCCGGGATGTAGGAAATCTTGAAGGAATAGTTCTCAAACTGGTGGCCACTCAGCTTCTCAATTGCTCTGCAAGGTAGGGAGAGGTGGGGGACGCGGTGAGGGGCTCTCCAGGGATGGGTACACCTCCAGAACTTGCCCCTGTAGACCGTGGTCCCTCCCCAGCCCTGCATCTTCCTCCCTCTGGAGGAAGGTGGCCATGGGAAGCCAGAGCCTCCCACTTTCCCTGTGCTGAGCAAGCCCCGTAATGTGGCGTGACGATGTCCCCTCCCATGTGGGTGATGCCGGGGCTGGCACACAGCTTGTCCCCCCAGGAGAGGTGTGATGCCAGCCTGGTGATCTGATACTTCACCTGGGGAAAGCACTGGCCAGAAGCTATCACACAGCGTGGAAATGCTCTCATGGGCTTTGCGGACATGGAAAAGGTGACAGAGGGGCTCCGAGCAAGAGCTGCTGCTCCAAGGAGAAGGAAGTGACACACGGTGCCCCTCTATCGGGAACCCCAACTCCCCTTCCAGCTCGGTAAGGCTGGAGGTGCTGCACCTGGACTCTTCATCCCCCCAGGCCCCTCCTCGGTGGGGTGATCCTCAGCCATGCCGGAGTCTGAGATGACTTCTGCAAGCGGTGATGGCTTCAGCCATACTTCTTTCCTCTTCCTACCGTCTCTCGCTTTGGCTATTTATAGGCAGGCATGTGAACGCACCACTGCAAGCAGCTCCCTGCCAGACCCCAACGTCACATCCAACAATGACTTCTGCAGCTTCGCCGTCCCTTTCCAAAATCAGCACAGTGCCCCACGGCCCGATTTCTCCGCCGAGGTCTTCCTTCCACCTCTTGCTATCACAACGGGCTCTAAACCAAACACACGTACCCACAAACCACCCTGGCCTTTCCTCCCATCACTCGCTTCTGCGTCGAGCTGCTGAGCACCACCCAAGAGAGGCGTCAGTCCAGCTGGATGCGACCGATCCTGAAGACTCTTACCCCAAAGCCCCATCAAGCACCGCTTTGGTAAGACTCTTCGTCTTCCTTTCTTGCCAGACATCCCGAGACATGCCAGCTCACACCTCGTTTATCTGTGGTCCACGGCACCTTCCTTGCACCTGCTGGCAACCACCTCCTTGTGGCCAGTCATGGCGGGACCACACGCCCCAGCATGGCCACCTGAACTGGAGCAAGGTGGTCTGGCCTCTGGCCTCCTGGATTAGCAGATCATTCTCCCCGTCTCCATCCTCACGCGTCCAACCTCGTGATGGTCAACTCAGATGGGAAGTTGCTGCAACGCCCATCAGCAAATGGACTCTGGCAACGGCTCTTCCTTGCACAGGGTCTGCCTGACTCTTGGTGACATCAAAAATACCCCTGCCACTAAGTAGGAGATGTGCTCACTACTTACTCAGACAACTTAAGGCTGGTCTCCAGCACAGGGTTGAAGTGTCTACAAGCCTGTAGCAAAGGATTTTGCTTAAATTTGCTTTGGTTGTTCAGCCTGGAGAGGATAAGACTCCAGGGAGACCTTTAGAGCAGCTTTCTGGTATCTGAAGGGGCTACAAGAAAGCTGAAGAGGGACTTTTTACAAGGGCATGTGGTGATAGGACGAGGCTTCAAACTGGAAGAGGGGAGATTTAGATGAGATACCAGGAAGAAATGTTTCCCTGTGCGGGTGGTGAGCCCTTGGCTGTGGTTGCCCCGAGAAGCTGTGGCTGCCCCATCCCTGGAGGTGTTCAAGGCCAGGTTGGACGGGGCTTGGAGCAACCTGGGCTGGGGGGAGTGTTCCTGCCCAGGGCAGGGGGGGTGGAACTGGGTGGTCTTTAAGATCCCTTCCAACCTAAACCATTCTATGATTCTATGAAATAGTCCCTGCATTCCTTAACTAACCTCTAATTTTTTTTTTTTCATCTCTGCTGGCTATGATAAATCTTTGAACACGTCTTCACGTAGCCCTACTGCACTGACGCACAGCCTCAACAGGTTCTTCCACAGTTATAAATTTTTTTCTTGATGGGTGACATTTTATTATGACACGTCTGCACAGTGTGCGGGTGATTGACCCTCTGCTGCTCTCCCTCCCCTGCAAAAACTGGTCATGGACCCCTCGCCTCCCTCTCACCTCCTCTAACCAGTTACTCAAAGGTCCTCTCTCTCATGTCCACGGCAGAAGAACTTTCCAAAAGCCTTCTAGAAGTCAGTCAGATGGTTTCTCTGGGCTCCAGGAAGCAGGAGGTGAGTGTCTCCAACTTGACTTTTCCCCAAATGGCGGGCAGTATTTACATCCTCCCACCATCACAGCATTTCTTCACCATCTCTCCCACCTCCTTCTACCATATTCCACCTCTTTCAGCAGCTCTGGTTGGGTGGTCGGACTGGTGATTAATCCGGTGCGCTCCTAGTTTAGGTCTGGACTTCCAACGTGGGAAGACGACTCCTTGACGAACTGCTTATCTGACCTGACCCTCAACTTTCTAGAGCACTTTGCTCCCTGAAGACAAGGCCACTGCGACTCTGCGGGGGACCTTGTAGGAAGGACAGTGTCCAAAAGGAATTGCAAGATGCCACATCTGAGACCCCTTTGGAGACAAGAGGAGAAGGCACAGAGGAAGAGGGGGCAACCACACAGTTGAGGGCCCCAAGCTGGTCCAGCAGTGCCTGTGCATGTATGATGGGACACCATGGAAACCCTATCTCCCACGTGAGAGGAGAAGGCAGGAGACTCCCCAGCGGTGGGGTCAAGAGGAGAAGGTGGAGCTGACTGCTGGCAGGAGAAACAGGAGGTGACACAGCTCAAGACAAAACCAACATCTGCCTGCTGTATCTCAAGAAGATACACAGACAGCCCTCAAAGGTACTTGAAGCTTACACTCTAAGAGCTTAGGAACAACCCAAGGAGGCTTAGGGAAAAGACAAGAAGCAGCCTGGAAAAACAGCCAGCGGAAAATACCTGGGATTCCTCGGAAAAAGTTCAGGTGGCGTGAAAACATGGATAAAATGAAATAAAACCCACTTACACTTTTGCTTCTTCTTTAGTTGCATACGTTACGTTGACAACGGCTGTTTCTGTGTCTGTGTTGACTGGGGGAAAAGCAAGAGAAGGCGCGTTAGGGCAGGGAAGGAGATGTCACCACTGCTCCCGGCCCACCCAGTATGCCCCGGAGGGGAGATGCAGGTGGGGACGGTGGGAGGGTAACGCCTGTCCCGTGGGGGATGGCCGTGGCCACCACGCCGGGTGAGTGCTTGTGCACCACTGGATTTTCTCCCAGCACAGGGATGGGGCCGGGCTGGCAAAGAAGCAGAAGGTGCCAAGGATGGATCCTGTCCCCCCGACCAGGGAGGATGCATGGCTGGACGTCACCGATCCACCAGCAGACCCCAAACAACACTTGGCTCATTTTCGCTTGCAGGGACAATTTATTTATTTTTTTTTTTTAATTTGCCAGTGACCAGGAGAAGCCCTGGGGATGGAGGACCAATGGCCCATGCCATCCCCCCACTGGACGGGTGGTCCCACCTCTGCCAGCAGGGCTTGTGTCCAGGGGGAAAACCATTTTATCCCAGTACCAACGACTGGAAAAAACAGTCTGTTTTTTCTCTGGCATGGACGGAGCTGGGGAGAGGCGCTGGGACTGTTGCACAGATGGGGACCACCATGCTGGACCATCTTACCTTGCTCTACGTTCTCCACCGTCCCATACTGAGCTAACAGGCCATCCAGCACCTGGGGATGGAGCAGAAACAGGGCAGGTGAGGCGGGCAGGAGAGGCTGTCGGACAGGCAGGGAACGGGCAGGGGAAGAGCCTGCTTCACCCACAGACACCCTCCAAGGAGCCAGCGTCACCCAACTGCTTAGATGCCTTCACCCACCCCATTATCCCAATGACGCCCCACTTGCTCAAAGCCACTCACGGCTCCAAGACCCACAAGCAGCCAGGAGATGGAGCCCAGTTCACACTCCACCTCCCTCCTGGGGTTACTGGGAAGGTAAAGGGTGGCCCGTGTGCCGACCACACGCTCCAGCAGCACAGCTCATGCTGCTTGGTGTGACTGATGGAGGAGGAGATTAATTTTAGGATGCTTTTAAGGATCGTCCGCTTCTTACCTCCCACTGCAGGTGGGGGGGGATATTTCGGATCTGGATCTTCCTGCTCCTGCAAAGATAAAGCCCCGGGTTAGAGTCTGCAGGAACACCAAAGCAGGCGAGAAAAGGTTTTCTGGGAATCAGATGGCAGCCGGCGAGAGCTTGCCGAAGCATCCCGCTTCCCCACGCCAAGCTGGAGCAGCTCAGCCGTGGAGAAAGCCGTTCCTCCCAGCCTTGTCCTGGTCACCTCCCGCAGGGGTCGAAGCTGTCTCGGGAACGCTCGCTCCCTCCTCATGCTGGCTGCCGGGTTTCCAAGGAAACCTCCTGAAATGAGCTTCTGCAGAGTCATGGCTGCACAGGCACGGCCGAGATGAACACACACACCTCCCTGACCACACTGCCCTGGGCTTTTGGGGGGACAGGACCCCGAGACCCACCACGGCCAGCCCTTAAGGGGGGCTGTCCAAAGGTGTATCCTGATATCCACCACTACCCAGCAATGCGGGGCTGATTTCCGTGGGGAAACCATATCCTCAGACGCCCGCCCTTGGAGATAGCCAACACACCCAATCTGGCCTGGTTGCACTCCCAACCTCACGTGATAGTACTCCCAACCTGGCTGTGGTTGCACTCCCAACCTCACACGGTGGCATTCCCAACCTCACTGCGGTGCAGGCTCCGGGCATGGACGCAGAGGAAGCATTGCAAAGGTTTACCCAGAGGTGATGACCACCCAACACCTCCCCAGCCTGGCTGCAAGAAGACATGCTTGGGCAGCAAGGAGCTTTGAGACACTTGAGTCCATGGAGGAAGCAGCCAAGCCATGAACTCTTCCACTGTTCACCCAGACGAGCATTCAGCATCCTACTTGTAGTCAATCAGCTCCAACCAACGCAGTGTCCTGTGTTCTCACCTGGTCCAGCTCTAACACTCTGATCAGAGCAGAGCAGGACCACCTCTTCCAACACCAGAAATGACTTTTCCAATTGAGCCACCCCCCACAGGTTTTGAGAGCCAATCAGCAGCTGGAAGCTGGTTCCGTGAAGCTTTGCCCTTCCTTGGGATGAGTTCAAGGAGGACGCTTGGAAGTACCTGAACGTGGTGGTACCAGTGGTGGGGACATGCAAGCAGGCACCAGCAGCCCCAGCAGACGGACAGCAACACGTAGGGGCTTTGGGCCAAATCCTGCAGGAGGAGCCCTGCAAGAGGAGGTGGGAGGAGCTCTGTTCACCTGCAAACCATCAACACCCAACACCCTGATTCCACCAGTGGTCTTCAACAGCTGGAAAACGAGACCTTCAAACTTTGGCCCAAGCTGCTCGTTGCACCTGAGCACCCCGAACCTCTGCACGCCGCAAATAATTTTGGCCGATAAAGAGCTTCTAAGGTAGTTTGGGGCCAGATGCCGGGGACAGGGAGGGAACGTGGGACACAGTGAGAACCAGAGGAGAGGCCGGTCCATGCAGACCCACTGCCACGCACAGCAGTGTGGGAGGTTGGTGTGCTCCAGACACGATCCTTCTGCCCCTACAGCAGAGGCACGCTCTGCTCGCTCCTGATTTAATAGCACAGGACAACCAGCGCCTTGTGATGGACAACTATCTGCCTTGTGAAACACGAAATCGGGGTGCAGCATGAGCAACACAACTCACAACTCACCGGGGTGCCGGTGAATACGTGCAGCAATCTGGGGCGTCCACCCCACACGCAGCAGATAAAACACGGGCTCCAAGCGAGAAAGGGACGGCAGGGAAAGAACGTTTCTTGAGATGTGAGCTGTGAGGGAAAAATAAAACCCACAGCTCATCCCATGAGGAGGACCATGGTCAAGCAAAGCAGCTGAAACCACCAAGGAACCTCGTATCTCATGGTGCTGCTCAAATGGGTATGGTCAGCGGTGTGATCAGCAATGGACAATGAACTCTAAGCTCGCATCCAACCGAGGAGGTGTGCTCAATAAAGCCCTGCATGGGTTTGACGGCCAGCTTCCCCAGGGACCCTGCGTACAGCCATCCTTGCTGAACGGCCAAGAACCCTGCCCAGTTCATGACTTGCCCCCTGTGCTGCTTAGCTCTGCAGGGATGGCTCTGCCCGTCAAAAGAAACTGGTCACTGCATCAAAGCGGGGAAGCCAGAGCTAGAGAAAATGGAACTGTCCTCCAGCATTATCAAACCCCTCTCCTCCAGCAGCCATGGAGTCCTCCTTTCCCCAGCTGCCACCAGGGATCTGAGGGTTGGGCATGAAGCTATACGATCCTTGTGAGGCAAAGAACAAGATTCATTGCATCCTATCCTATCCCATCTCATCCAACTCCATCCCACCCTTCACCATCCCACTCCATCCTACCCTACCCCATCCCACCCACGTCTCTCATCTCATCCAATCCCATCCCATCCCACCCATTCCATCCTAGAATCATAGAATAGTTTGGGTTGGAAGAGACATTTAAAGACCATCTAGTCCAACCCTCCTACAATGAGCAGGGACATCTTCAACTAGATCAGGTTGCTCAGAGCCCTGTCCAACCTGGCCTTGACTGTTTCCAGGGATGGGGCATCTACCATTTCTCTGGGTTTCACTACCCTCATTGTGAAAAAATTCTTCCTTATATTTAATCTAAATTTTCCCTCTTTTAGTTTAAAGCCATTACCCCTTGTCCTATCACAACAGGCCCTGCTAAAACGTCTGTCCCCATCTTTCTCGTAAGCCCCCCCCTTAAAAGTACTGAAAGGCCAAAATAAGGTCTCCCCGGAGCCTTCTCTTCTCCAGGCTGAACAACCCCAACTCTCTCAGCCTCTCCTCCCGGCAGAGGGGCTCCAGCCCTCCTACTCCATCCCACCCTACACCCTACCCCATCTCATCCAGCCCCATCCCATCCCACCCTATCCCATCCTACCCCACCCCATCCTATCCCCAAGCCATTCCCACCCCACACCAGAAGGGAGGCAGTGAGGAGGACCTGGCAAACCCCAGCCCAAGTGCCAGCGAGTCTCAAACCATTGGCACCTGAAAGCTTTCCAAGGCAACGCTCTTCTCAACTCTGAAAGCCCAGGACTGGCCTCTCCACGCTGGTGCAGAGCAGTGGACGGGCCGCCCAGTTACTTCTACCACCTAAACAGAACGGGTGGCCTCACTTGCCTCATCCCACGATGCCACCACTCAGCTGCAAGCCAACGCATTGCTACAACCATCCTCCTGCCCCAGCCTGGGAACCATCTGTGCCCATGGATGCTACAGGATGAACCACCGAGAAGCCACCCTCCTTTTGGGGTTCATTTGGCTCAGTTCACCCTCTCACCAAAGCCCACGGGACACGGGGCGTTTTGAAGCAGGTCATCCAAGTGCAGGCTGGCTGGACATGGTCTCCTTACCACAGTGTTGGGAGCGACTCTAGAAAAGCCTCTGCCTTGAACTGACTCGCCCTGGGGCATCATCTCCCCACACCTCGGCCAAAGGAGATGCCAGGGCAGCCCCGGTCTCCCCAGGTTGCTGCCGCACCGCTCACCCGCCTTCCAAAACGCCCAAAGAGAAGGACCACAGCAAGGTGCCGCATAACCCCACTTCTCAACAGGACACTACAGCATCGTCCCATTTCTAAGGTCCATCCGAGCTGATGCAGAGCATCCAACGATACCCAAACGGGGCTCAAGGCTTCACCCCCACCACCTGGCAGGTCACCCAGCAGCTCGTTATCACCTCTCAGCATTTAAAAATAAGGTTATTATTCCTACTGGGTGTATGTTTAATAGCTCTCGTAATTCCCCACATGGTAGAAGCGGTGCTGGACCACGCGCAGTCATCACTGATGGAGCGATGGATGTACATCCAGGACCACGATGGATGGACGTGTTATTCCCAGGACCGGGGCAGGAACCACACGTGGTCCTCATGGGACAGGGCAGCACATCTCAAGGCCAGCCTCCTCCAACACCACTCCCGGGAGGACTTTGGGGCAGAAAACCCCTTTATTCTCATTTTCCACGCTCCTCCCAAAACCTGGGAGATGGGGGAGCGATTTCAGCGCACGCACACAGGACCGGCGCAGGACCTCGTGACAAAGGCAGTGGCCACGTTCCACCCAACCAGGTTTGCGACAGGCCGGTAGGAATTTAAAAAAAAATTTTAAAAAATCATAATAAGCCACAATGACGGGCAAGGAGTTGGTGGAAAAATACTTAATTATGTGGTGCAACTAGCCCTGCCGTAACAAGCTGCCCTCAGGTGACCATGAGAGCTGCATCCTGCATCACCCTCCTGCTCCTCCCTACCTGCACGTGCCCACCAGCCACCTCGACCCAGGATGGAACAGCCGGCGGCAACCGAGCATCAGCCTCAACCGCTCAAGAAACCAGATTTATACAGGTCCACCTGCTTTTTTTGCCCTCCTAAATTCACCCCCAAACGGTAACACAGCTTGAGGAGGACACATCTTCTCCATCCCAGGGCTGGGTTTTGGGTACCACGTGCCGCCCGGAGTCACCCGCAGGATGGAGGCGCCGGCTCGAAGAGAGGCTGTAAGCTGGGTCCATGAAATAATTCACAACGGAGCTGCCGTATATTTCATGCATCTGTTAGACCGAAAGCGCGAGGTCGACGTCGCGACCGTGCAGGGAAAAGGGCGACGGAAAACCCACGGCCACCCGTGCCCCGCCAGCATCACCGGCCGATGACCACACACGAGGGCTTCACGTGCCGCGTGCCGGACAGCTGTACTTGCCGACACCAAGCAATAAAACAGAAGATGCCTTAAAACTTGCAGTTAATTCCCCAGAATGGGGTGGATTGAGGTGTTTTTGGCACATGTCACCCCCCCCCAGCAGCCCGGGTGAGCAGCAGCTTCATGGCTACCCCTCCCTGTAGCTCCTGGGGACGTGACGGCTGAAAGCCACCCCCGAAATCCAGAGACACAGAGGCAGAAGAATAAAGATGAGAGGCAGCTGTGAAATGACAACAAGGCACCGACCTCCAGCAGCCCTCCCCGCGGCCGCCCACCCTTCCCCTGCCCCTGGGGCTGCGGCACCATGGACCACCCATCATCCCCACCACCTCCTGGTCTCCTCATCCAGAGGGGCTTCACCTCCACCTCCCACGAGGGGACCAGAAACTCCATTTCACCCAACTGCCTTAAATATAATGCTTAAAACGGGATGGAAGGGACGGTTTCACCTAAAAATATGAAGATTTTTTCCTACTAGTTTTGTATTGTCTTTCTGTAATAAAGCCATAAAGGGATTTTATCACCTTCCACCTCAGATCGGTACCGACGGCAGAGAAAACACTGTCCAGCAGCTCTGGCTCTAAATAAAAATCAGTTTTAGAGAGAACTGGGGGGAAAAAAAAACAGAGGGGAAACGTGCTGGGAACCAACCATCTCCCTGGCGGTCCTGCCTGATTTATGAAATATTTGTCCCAGGCGAGAAAATACCTACAAGAAATGATGCTCATCATCAGGTGGGGACCAAACTTCATTCCACTGAATTTTTCCGACCCAGCAGCTTGCAGCCGGAGCCGAGCACTCTCCCCTAACCAGGCAGGGAAGAAACCATCTGTTGGGTTTGCTTCTCTTGAATATTATACACATATTTTGGTCTATTGGGGTCATCCTCAACAAGTTTTGCCCTCGCCCAACCCAATCCAGCAGCGCATCTTAACGAACAACGGCTCCGTCAGCACCGGGGCTGGCTAAGCATTAAAGAGCTGCCCCAGTTTCAACCAGTTGCCAAGAGCATCGCGGCTGCGGCTGCTCCAGTTTCCCCTCCCAGGCCGGGGGCTTTGCCTTGACGCTCTTAAGGAATTAAAATCCGTTGAACGTTAAAGCCATGTCCTCGTCCGCAGGACCAACAACCTGTCCGGGGACGGCACGTGATGGATACGTCCCCGTGAGTCGGGGATGTATTACCCGTAGGGCTGAACGGGAAATAATGTCCCATCTGTCACAGCTTCCCAAGATTAAGAGGGATGGGGAG